GCAGAAGTAGCCGTAGTAGTAATATCTATCGTAGCAGAGTAATTTTTACATGGGTCGATGGTTCATTTATTACAACTAATGCTATAAAAGTATGGGATTAATTTGCTCCTCTGCTGTCCAGTTTTAAAGAATTTGAAATGATAGATGGATGTGCTTCAGCAGATGCACATATACATAAGGTTGGTGAATGAACGAATGAATGAAAAGCTGGATGAATTAATAAATGGAGTAAACTAACAAACGAATGATCGAACGAACGAATAAATGAATTAACTTTCGGCTTTTGAAAATGTTTAAAACTAAACAAATTTTTATTGCTAAAAAAATTCCTGAGACGATAAAAACTAAATAACAATTATTTCACAAATGATTTTAGAAGCATAAATGCCAATGATAATTATTCACATTAGTGTCTCTTTAAAAGTACGAAGCATTATGTATGTCTTCATACATATACTGCGTTCAGCAATGTATGTATGTATGAATGAATGAATGAATGAAAAGAAAGAATAAATGAATGGATGAGTGAGTGAATGAATGAATTATTGTTATTTAACTAGTCGGAAACGCTATATTTCGCTAATTTGGCTAGAACGTCATTGAAATGTTGAAATGTACGCTCTATAAATAGATTTAATTGAATGATTAATTGACTGACTGACTGACTGACTGACTGACTGACTGACTGACTGTCTGACTGACTGATTGATTGATTGATTGATTGATTGATTGATTGATTGATTGATTAACTGATTGATTGAATAACTGATTGATTGATGGATTGATTAATTGATGGATTGGTTGATTGATCAATATTTATCTATGAGTTTTGTTCTTTGGTTGGTTCGGAATAAAAGTTTGTGGAACAGTTTTTAAAATTTTTTAAAATTTGTAAACACCACTTCACTGTTGACTTAGTTTTTATTTATTTATTTATACAATCATTTATTTATTCACTTTTATTCATTTATTTATTTGTTCATTCGTGCATTTGATTTTGACAATTATAGTTAAAAACACAAATTTATCAAATATGATGTTTCCATTGTTAAAAATCTTGAAAGCGAAAGTGAAAAATTAATTAATTTACGTCAATAGTTCTTTTCTGATTTTGATTGTTTTTGTTTTTTTTTATCTAGAAAAAAATATGCATGCGTAAGTATGGCTCTGTATGTGTGTGTGTGTGAGAATGATTATGTGTGTGTGTATGTGTGTGTGGTTGTGTGTGTGTGTGCGTGATTGTGTGCGTGTGTGAACAAATTAGCTCGTTCAAAAGTGTATGTATAAAAAATATTTTACTTTTATTTTCTCTTCTTTTTTGTATTTTCTGTTTTGCTTGAAGATAAAATCCATTAGTGATTGAACAAATACTCTTTATTGTATCATTTTAATCTACATCGTCATTTCCTCTTCTTCTTCTTCCTCCTCCTCCTCACCATCATCATCATCTACTTCTTCTTTCTCACCATCATCTTCTTCATCGTCATAATCATCGTTGGCATCGTCCTCATTTTAAATACTGTGCCTGTCTGAGGGTTTTTTCAAACATTTTTTTAAATATTCCAAATGAACTCTCCGATCTTGCTGAACTGCAATACGAGAAACGTTGTCAGATTAATATCCTGTTGTTGCTGGCTCTTTTCTTCCATTTGTTTCCTATTTTACTTCTCTCTCTCTCCCTCTCTCTCTCTCCCTCTCTCTCTCTCTCTTTCTCTCTTTCCTTCTTTCTGATTTTTTTCATTCTCGTTTATATTCGTTTCTCATTTTTTTCTTTGTTACTTTTTCTCAAATTTTTCCTTCTCTCTTCTCTTCCTCTTTCCCTGTTTTATCTATTCATCATTGTCTTATCCTCCATATCTCTCTCTTACTTTTTTTCTCTCTTCTTTCTTTTTTTCTCTCTTTCATTTTCTCTTTTCAACTCTTCTTCCTTTCATCCACCACTCCCTCAAGATTTCGTTCTCTCCCTTTTTTACTCTCTTCCGTTAATTCTTTTTTTAAATCTTTGTCTCTTGTTATCACCTTTTCATCTACTTCCTGCTATTTTATTTTTATTTTTCCTTCTTTGTTTCTCGCGTTCCTCCTTTCATCTCGTTTATTTGCGAACAAACGCATCCTTTTGAAGATTTTCCACCGAAATTTAATCAAGCGATAAATTGAACTGTTCATTCGTTCGTTCGTTCGTTCATTCGTTTACTCATTCATTCGTACATTCATTCATTCATCTATTTAATCCTGTCATATATCAACCATGCATTAATTTATTCATTCATTCATTCTCCCATTCATGCATTCGATTCAAATGTAGTATCGACAACACACACACATTTATACATAATTTGTTTAATAAATAAATAAACTAATAGTTAATTCAAATAA